TACTTTTATTTCCTTTAAAATAAAATTTAGCTGATTGCCTACAAAAAATCCAATTATTTTTCTAAGTCCAGCAGGCTTTCCCCAATTCTTAACCCCTCCCCCACTACTATTCGGCCTTCCCTCAAAATTCGCATGGACTGAAAAGAGCCTAAGCCCCTGCCCCCCTAGCACACGTGACTATCGCCTTCCAACCAACGCTCTTCTCTTGGCCAAATTCGATGCTTTCCTGACTTCAAATTCATTCAGCCTCCACCCGCCGCCACTGCTGCCTGCATGCTTCTCCAATCGTCACTCTCCGAAAGTATTATCCTACAGTATCGTTCCCATAAAATTTAGTTTTTTATGTTATGTTAATGTTATTTTATTTATAAAAATGAGAAATTAGAACTTATTTCGAAATATGGATAATGTTAGTAACGAAATTTAAGATCATAAAACTGTGTACAGTGATAAAAACCGGAGAAAATTGTTTGTATGCAGATCAAGCTAAATTAAAATATAGATGACACAACTTTCTCATTTATATATCTTTTCTAAATGTATCAACTGTACGATATTTTATCTTGTACGGTACAGAGGCATTGTGGCGAATATTTGGTTACAAAGTATTCTTTCGAAAGAAATGCTATTCAAATAAATAAAAATCAAATAATTTATATCTACATATACAGTGGTGGCCAAAATTGAGGACACTTTTGGAAATTTTTATGTTTTCGAACTTTGTATGCTTATAGAAAATGTTACGTTTCGCAAAATGCAAACTTGTATATATCATTTTAAAGAGAATATATTATTGAATTCAATACAAAACACAAAATTCAATTATTTGCAATACAAAAAAGTTATATGTACTTTAATATAAATAAAAAAAACAAAGTTATGAAGTGCTTTGTAATGTCTAGCTTTCCTGGCTAATCACTGTTCTTGTTCTGAGAACCAATCAAATGTTAGTAACTGCCAGTAGAAGCTGACATCATGTATACACTTGAAACATTTCATTATTTTACCTTGTTCTGTAGAAGGAGGACCTTTTCTTATACACTGCAATTAAAAGTAGGAATTTTTGTAAAAAATTTTAATATTTAGTCAAGAAGCAATGACATCGAATAAAAGAGTAGATTGAACACCTAGAAAGAGATGTAATATTATTGTATTATGAGAAAGTGGTCTTTCCTATGCTGAAATTGCAAGACAGGTGGGTGGTTTAGTCCGAAAGTTTTGTTTACGATATCAGGAGACAAATTCAATAAAAAGCAAAGAAGAAAAAGACCGAAAAAGGTGCACCACATCTATTGATGACAGAAAAATTAAAAGACTATGTCTCCAAGATAGAAAAATGTCATCTGAATGATGCTGATGTTTTTGTCAGTTCAAGAACTATCAGGAGAAGATTAGCAGATGTTGGACTGAGAGGTAGAATTCCAAGAAAAAAGCCTTATCTTAATTTTCATTAACGAAAAAAAAAAAAAAAAAAAAAAAAAAAAAAAAAAAAAAGTCTACAGTGGGCAAAGGAAAACATTAATTGGACAGATGATCAGTGGTCACAAGTTATATGGAGTGATGAAACTAAGATATCTTTCTTCGGTAGTGATGGGCGAAAATATGTAAGACGTAGAATAGGAGAAAAGCTACATCCTGACTGCATTCAAGCAACTGTGAAGAACCCACGTAGTGTTATGATTTAGTCATGCATGTCAGCAGATGGTATTGGTCGCCTTCATGTCATCGATGGGACACTGAATGCCAGAAAATACATTGACATTATTCTAGAACCAAAAATTCTACCTTCCATCAGAGATCTCTTTCCCAACAATGCTTCGTTTATTTTTCAGCAGGATTCTGCGCTTTGCCACACTGCCAAAATATCGAAAGAGTGGTTTCGTACAAAGAGCATTAAATTGTTGTCATGGCCAAGAAACAGTCCTTACCTCAATCCTATCGAAAATTTGTGGCACCGTTTGAAAACTCTTGTCCGACTGGTGCCCATCAAATAAAAGGGAACTAATTGAGGCTATAATTGTTTCCTGGCATCCTGTAATAACGAAAGAAGAGTTTAAAACTCTTCGTAGCTCAATGAAACATCGATGTGAAGCTGTAATAAAAAACTAAAGGGTACTCTACTAAGTACTGATAACTCACTGCAATCATCACTATCTAATGTATATAGATAACTATTATCATTTAACTTTTTTTATTGCAAATAATTTAATTTTGTGTTTTGTATTGAATTCAGTAATAAATTCTCTTTAAAATGATATGCACAAGTTTGCATTTTGTGAAACGTAACGTTTTCTATAAGCATACAAAGTTCAAAAACATAAAAATTTCCGCAAGTGTCCGCAATTTTGGCCACCACTGTATATAAGCATAAACACAAAAGTCCGCAATATGAATACATAAATAAAAAAAATTAAAATAATTATTTAAAGAACTATAATTCAACCATGGAACTCGAATGATTGAAATTGAAATTCTAAAATCAAAAGAAACGTCTAAAAGTAACAACTGTGATTAAAAAGTATAATATGAAGTAAAATATGTGCAAGAAAGGAAAAAAGATAATTTTTTCGCTCGTCTGGAAAGTTCTCTAAGTGAATTTATCTCGGCACAAAATTAAATTTTTTACCAAATTTGTCAAGATTTTGTTTTTAGGCATAATAATCGGAAAGTGAAAGAAAACTCCCGATTTCTGTCAAATTACATATATTGGGACAACCCTGTACGTGAATCAAATATATATCTTAAGTCGCACTTTTGAGACATAAAAAGTGCAAGATGAATTTCATCAATCAATCCAGAAGAACAAGATATATAGAAACAAAGAATTTGAATCCTACAAGTTCTTTAATAGAACTGTCTCCCCATCCTTTTGCTTGCTGTACATGCTTATTTCTAGCAAGTGCTTCAAATAGTACTTTTATAAAATTAAACATTTTTCTGCTCCATAACACAAGGTTGATACAGGGAATTCGATCGGAGACCTTGAATTGTTCAATGAACTTGCAAGCGAGAATAGACCCATTCTTGTTTTACCGCTGTCTTTTAAATTCTGAGTGGCGGCGATTGCCTATGCATGTGGAAACTTGATTTGTTAGTAGTTATCGGGAGCGGTAGTGCAGGTACTTTTGTAATGATTTAGTAATTTCTTATTGATCTAAAAATTAAATTAAAGGCTGCAATATAAGAAGATAATATGAATGACTAGAGCTTCGTTTGCAGTATTAAAATCTTGACGTAATTGTTTTTTCCGGTGCGAGTTATCAGGACATACTCAGTTATCAGTAGTAGTTTAATTTCTGATGCTGATCAGTATTTGTTTTTTTCCTCGCACTTTTTATTTTTGTTAAAAGTAAGTCAACGCTGTTTTTAGTTAAACGGTAATTGGGAAAATCCATTTGTAATTTTAACAAATGTAATCATATAAAAGTCCCAAATGCAGGAATCTTGAAAACTTAAGTATAGTACTTTTAATTGCTGTCAGTTTTTAATAAATTATTTGATGACACTAAATTCTTTTTCGTTGCTGTTTGAATGCTTTGATTAAATAGTTAGGTATATAGTGATATCATTTTGTAGATGAATTTTTTTTAATGTTGCACCACTATTATTTTATTTGTAATTGTTCTAACTTTGTATTCATCCTTTGAGTGATTTAGGGAGACATTTTGACTTAATTCTGTCTTGAAGATGTTCAGCTGTGAAAGTTTTTGAAAGAATTGTTTGGACTAAGTGTACTAAAGGGTTTAATTCTTTAAGGTATTTATAGTGAAATTCAGGTTTTAAATTTATATATTGTATATCATAGGAATTTATTTTATTGAAAACATTTTTATAAGATTTGAAAAATTTGTCTATTTTAAAGAGTATAGAGCTGACAGTCTTAGGGAATTCAGTTTGCAAGTTTTATGGTTTTTTAGAACTTCATCTGTGAAAATATTTTTTGCGAATAAGAATGAAAAAAGAAATTATATTTTTGTAATTGTATATCTTTAACTTAGGTATTGTTTCCTGTATAAAATTTGGGCTGGCTGCATGGCCGTTTTCGTGGTTTTCACCATGTGTAAGCTGTATACGAGTCAGTTTCCCTTAGAAAGTCCTCCACGAAGGCATCCCTCCGCTTAGGCAGATAGCCCTAGTGTGCTTTTCCATAATTAAATAAACCAAACCTGTATAAAATTTTAAATATTAATTTGTTTTTCTTTTTATAACACTGAACAAATTAAAAAATATATATTTTGTCTTTTACTGAACTGTAATATTTGTATTGTGATTTTGAGCATGGCATCAATTTTGAGTTTTACTACATTGTTTTGGACTGTCTTTGGTTTAATCCTAGTATCCAGTGCACAAGATATTTGGCTACTTTTGGCGACTTTATGATAGCAGTAAACAGGACATATACGATTAGTAGTTAAACAAGTCATTTTGGTGTTGGCGATAATTTTCAAAAACGTGCCAAAGCTGCACCGTATACTAGGATTTTACCCTATCTTTTATTTTTATGGAATGTACAATTATTTTGCTGTACATAAATTATTACATCTAGTATAAGTTGTTTTAAAATGTAATGCTCTTCAGTTTTCTGCAGTATTTTGCTTCTGGTGTGTACTCTGATTTTTTGCTGTGTATTGTGTGGTTTCACTACATGCTCTTGTACCTGATAAAAATATAATCCCTGTTTGTCATTTACAATTTCTTAAGTTCTCTGAGAAATAATAAAAACAGAAAATGAGAAAATGCATCATAAGTAGCATTCTGCTTACCATTATTATGTTCTTTCCTAGAAACCCAAATTTTCATCACATCTTTTATTTGTGTATCTTTATTACTATATTTTTAAATGGCTTTATATCTCATTCAATGAAATTCAGTGTGTGTTCACATAGAGTATCATTTATTAGTTCTCTAATCTGGTAAAGAAGCATTCTGTGATTTTGACTTACTTTTAACAAAAATAAAAAATGCGAGGAAAAAAACAAATACTGATCAGCATCAGAAATTAAACTACTACTGATAACTGAGTATGTTCTGATAACTCGCACCGAAAAAAACAATTACGTCAAGATTTTAAATGAACTGTAACCCATGTTCTCATGCTGTTTGACAGTTTTTTTCTTTTCTTATGCTACTCTCACATGTGCAGTGTAGATAAAGAGTTTTAACTAAAATGCACTTCTATTTTGAAGTAGAACTATTTTTAAGCTTGCAGTGGTTTGTAAACAGCCCTTTTCTTACAAAAATTTGATTGTCCCAGCTCCTGTCATGCCTCAAAGACAATATTTCTGAGTACTTAATATTTCAAAGAAAATACCTAGCTGGAAATCAGTCATGGGTTTTTAAGTGGCTGGACAGATGTCCCTTTGTGGATTTTAATGTGCAAAGTATTGTGTTAGTAGCCTAAATGGTACTTTTCTGTTATCAGAACCGAATTTAGAAAGGTACAAATGTATGTGCGTGTGAATGTAAGCATGTGTGTCTGTATGTATGTATATGTACAAATACATACATTCATGCTTACATATAGTATACATGAACGCATATCCATGCATACAATGCTTACATACATACATTTCTGGATCCGGTCTTGATAACAGAACAGTACCACCTAAATTTCAACGGTTGATCTTTACAATATGGTAACTGGTAGTTTGGCGACATTTTGGAGGCGATAAAGGTTACTACCTGGGACTTTGGTAATAATGTGAGCAGTACTCAGTTCCGATTACGCATTATTTTGCGTGAGGGAAATGAGAGATCATGGGATATGTCATGTGATATTAATGGTCATGTGATATTAATGGACGGTTGCGGTATGAATTCGTTGGTGACGTTTATAATATAATAGATGATTTAGAGGTAAAAGTTTTTGGATATTTTATTTATTTTATATGTGGAAATGTTCATATTTGGAAAGGGTAAATACTTTTTCGCGATCAGGTAATTTCATATATGTTCTTTTTACCGGGTTTAAGATTGAGAAAATTGTCATGTATTTTCGTGAAATTTTTCTAATTATGAGAAAAAAGCAGTGTACATGGATATAGTGAAGAGTGTGCGCATGCCATTTTTGTGCAATTTTGGGATGTTTTTTTAAGTAAAAATAAGTCGGCGTGTACATGGTTTATGTGTATGTGTTATTTTGAAAAACGCGTAAGGAGTATGGTATTGTGCACTTTTTCTCAATTTTGCAGTAAATATTTGTCATGATTAAGCAGTTTTTGTTTGATAAAATTTCTAGCATAAGTATAATTCGGCTAGTGGATTGTTGGAAGAAGTGTTCAGTAGATAAAAAGAAAAGAAACATGTCTTTACTTCGTGAAGACAAAATGGCGGCGGGGAAAAAAAACAGCGGGTTGCTGTAGGAGAGTTGGTTGCCAAATTTTCGCCAAAAAAATCGCCAAGTTACCATAATGTAAAGATCAACCATTTCAACTAATGAATTAATTGTATTTAATTGAGTCTGTTGTATTTATTGTATTTGAACTAACAGTTAATGAGTCTGAATTTTTAAATTTTAGTAATTTTATTTCTGCTTTGTGTTATTGGTAATGAGATGTGGAGGTTGTTAAAACCTTCAATAGCCACCCACAAAGATATTAGGATGAAAAATATAAATACATTGTGATCGCAAATTGGCATTTAAAAGACTGAAAGCTTAAAATAAGTCATGACATTCCTGCAAATGAAGTTGCCCAAAGTTTTGTAACATGGGCATCGAACCTCAGTTGTGTTTCGAAATATGACAGATATTTGTGGTAGCCACGAAGATGCACCATTTCAAAACGTTCAATGCATCTTAAAACATACGAGATCCCATGCCTTACACCATGTTGTGAAATGCTGGGGACCTTCATCATCAGAAAAGTCAGGACTTGTTTTTAATGTCTTTAAATTTCAATTTGCTATCACAATGTATTCATATTTTTCATCCTAATATCTCTACAGGTGGTTGTTTCCTGTGACAATCCTTAATATCTTCCCTCTCTTGTTAGGGTTGCATTTCTGACTCTGCATTGCTATGCAATTTAGAGTCGTTTAGCCCTAGTCTCTCCTAGATATTTTCTGCAGTTTCTGAAAATATATTTAAAAAATTGCTTATCTTGTAAAATAATATTCGGAAGCGATATTCGGTACTATTCTATTTTCAGGGCCGTAAAAAAATTGCAGCAAAAATGTATGCGCAAAAGCGCCAAATCTAGCAAACACACCCATTTAACAGCGCGCCAAATCTAGCGTATGCGCTGATTTCAGATTGCGTAAGTTTATGTAGTTCTACATTTCTTAAGATGCCATTGAAATACTAGTTATTTTTAAGTCCTTTTTTTGATTTTAAATCCTTTTTTGATATCCTATGGATTTAACAATTTGTGAATTGCCCATGACGAAAAGTTGGCAATAGAATTTTGGGTAAAGTGCAGAATCACCCACTGCTTGACGTGTTTTTAAGAATTGCACATACTCGGTATCCATGTGCACATCTACCTGTTTTCACTTAAAAAAAAATCCTAGAATTGCACAAAAGTGGCACTGCGCACACCCTTGACTTTATCTATGTACACATCGACCTATTTTCACTTAAAAAGTAAAAGAAAATTGACAAAAATCCGATTGTTTTTACCCTTGTAAAAAGTGGCAAACAAATAAGTGAGCGATTCTGCATTTTACCGAGAATATTCTCAAAGAAAAGGCATCATTCATTATAGAAAATTACGTTTGAACAACCAACGAGATGAAATTATGCTTTAGCGATAAGTCGGTAGCGAAATAGTGATGCAGGCATCCATTCAGTTATGTTTAGCAATTTTTATATAAATTATAATAATCTGAAATAGTTATTTACTCTTATGCTTCCATTCAGTCATGTTTAGCCTTTTTCATATATATTATAATAATAAAAAAGTGTTATATGAAATTAGCCTTTCATCTAAATTAAAACATTCATCTTAGATTGTTATTTACTAATATCCAGTCAAAAGTCTTTAATCCGGACTCGTCGGGACTTCAGCGATTCCGGAATCTCGATTTTTCTGGATTATAGATCATCAGTTTAAATCTGATAAGATGGCATGCAGAAATTATAAAATTAAAAATATGAAACCATAATTTATGAAATAAAGAGCAATTATGATCTAAAGGGTATCAAAATTTACAAAAAAAAAAAAAAAGCTTAATATTTATTTGTTTACTTTATTAAACATTTCTCTCAACACGCGCATATGTAAAGCATACATTACGCATAGTCGAAATTAGAAAATTGCAACCAGAAAACTATTTGATGTGTACTCGTGATATTTATAATGACGAGGAATTTGATTTAAATCATATCAAAGACAGAATATATCGAGATGAAATACTACATTTAGTAAGGAATTATAAGCTGAATAAAATAAAAACATCTGCCCTGAAGATAAGGATAGTGCTGACAGATCAACTTCCAGTTCATTGTGCGCCGCGACGGTCCCCCCCCTCCCCCGCAGAGCAGCGTGAAATTGATGAACAGATTACTGAATGACAAATCACCTCTCTGTCACTTTCTTCATGCCTTTATCCATTTTTTGCAGCAACTCCACTTTTTGTTTGATGGACATCGAAACATGCTTTCGCTCTGTAGATCCTTTGGCAGCTCCAGAATCGGCAATTCTTTTTGACATAATCGAAAGTTCAAGCTTACTTTTATGAAATTGCTCTAACAGTCTGCAAAAAATAATAAACCAGATCCTATTTGAAGATTAAGGAACAACGCAATCTGCAACATTAACTGAAATAGATAATTAGATAATTTTAGCTTAGCTTATACCGTCCGTTATACATTGAAAGCATTATGCGATGCGCAGAAAGTTTGTATCTTTGAGGTCTGGATTATAGATCATTCCGGATTATGGAAGTCCAGATTAAAGACTTTTGACTGTATTAGCCTTGAAATTTATGAGTTTCGTTAAATGTCATTAATAGATAATATTGTAATGAGTAGAATTCCAGAATGACAATTCGTAACTTTTCTTATATACATCCAACCTGAAATCAGATGAATCGGAAGACAGCCGAAATTTTCATCTGTAGTGAATTAGAAAGACATCCTTTTTGTGTGAAATTTTAAGTCCATAACCTTTCGAGCGTTAATAAAGATGGCATGAATTATTATTGCAAGTGCATTGCCTCCTAGCTGTCACAAGTGTTTCTGATAAACTTTAAAAAAAAATATCTTTTTATATTACAAAAATTCATCATGTTATATGCTGAAAAATTGAAAAATATGAAAAAGCTTTGGTTTAAAGACTTTCTCATTGAGACATTTTTCCTACACTGTCAACATCTGTCTTATAATTTGACATCTTGGATAGTATAGTGATCAACACACATTGACAGATTTCTTCACTTATGGGTTTGAGTTTATTTGAGACTGTATTGGCTTTGGGGCCCTTAAAATCTATTGAATTAAAAGCCTTTTGAGATGTTGGCAGAGGCAAAGAAGGATATGAGACATTTAGATTTCACCCTCATGAATTGGGATAGAGCATAGACTAATAGCAGGGGCATAGCTAGAGGGGGACAAGGGGTGCATCTGTCCCCGGGCGCAGAATCCTAGGGGCGCCAAACTGATGTTACGACATTTTAGAATTAAATGTTTTCCATCCTTGGCAAGCAGTAGGGGACGCGAAATCTTCATTTGTCCCTAGGCACTGAAAACCCTAGCTACGACTCTGACTAATAGCCATTGTTTGCTTTACTTAAATCAAATAAGTAAGTATGCTAACAAGAAGGTTCAATTTCTTTCACTAATGGAATTCTTAACATCATCTAGTGAGGGAAAGCGGTACTTTAACCAGATTTCTGACGATATTACAAGTAAATCCAAAAGCTGGATGAAAGAGATTTATTGGATGGCAAGTTGTTGAATTTCAAGACAGTTTGCTCCTGAAAAATCTAGGAAGATTGAATGTAAATTTTCATGTTTTCTATGATGCAAGCTTGAGTACATATGCTTCTTAATATCTTCTTGAAAGAAAGAGAGTTGCTGAGATTTATATTCAGCTTCTGCAAGCCAAAGATTTTAGAAGCCGCAGATTATCATTTAATTTATTAATTGAATCTTGTACAGATCGTTATACAGTATTTATGTTTAGTTTATTAATTGAGTTTTGTTTAATTAATCTGAACTTTGTACAGATTTGATCTTTGTACTGATTTGCAAACAACAGGCAAATAAAAGAATAAGAAGAAACTGGAAATTAGAAAATTATGCTTATGTAAGAGCAGTTGATAGTTATTGCACTTATGAATGTAGTTGGCACCTCAGCGCAATATTAAAGATTAATGCTTAGTTAAATTATTTTAACTATAGATATCTATAATATATTCAGATGCCTTGCATTTTTAACAGTAATTTTGATTGCTAGTTAAATTAATTGTAATTTTGAATATTGAATGTATTTAGATGCATGGTCTATAATATTAGAGTAATCTTAATTAGAATAATCAGTACTCTTTTGTTATTGGGACCGGATTCAGAAATGTATATATATTATATATATATATGGATGTAGTGTTCATGTATGTGTGCATGTATTTGTACGTATGTATTTAGATGCATGGTCTATAATATTAGAGTAATATTAATTAGAATTAGAATAATCAGTACTCTTTTGTTATTGGGACCTGATTCAGAAATGTATATATATATATATGGATGTATGTGTTCATGTATGTGTGCATGTATTTGTACGTACATATATATGTACATGTATACACATATATGCATGTAGACACATACACGTATGTTTACATACATACATTCCTGAATCCGGTCTTGATAGGTCGAGCGGTAAAATCGCTGAACACCAGTAGTTCGGTCTGAGGTTTGAATCCCACGAACGGGCTGGCTGCATGGGCGTTTTCGTGGTTTATGAGTCAGTTTCCCTTAGAAAGTCCTCCACGAAGGCATCGCTTCCCTTAGGCAGATAGCCCTTGTGGGCTTTGCCATAATTAAATGCACCACACCGGTCCTGATAACAGAAGAGTATCGAGTATTCTAATTTTAAATACTTTATAATATTGGAGGAAATAAAATAATTTCCTTATAATTGTATGGTAATTTTTCTTACTTTCATAAGCTGCATCAACAAAAATTGGCATTTCTTCCCCCAATTCTTTTCAAAATATAAAACTGTTTCTTAGCATCTTCAACAGAGTGAATTGTACTTTGAAAGTTGAAATTATTTTGTGAAAAGATTTTATTGTGTAAATTTTCATTTGGTATTAAGATGAATTCTGTATTGCTAAATGATAATTACATTGAGACAAAGTTCTGTTTGTAGCTGAATTTTTACTAAAAAGTATAAATGTAACATTTCAAAACAAAGTAGCATTTTCATTAGAAACTTTTTAAGTGACTTCATTGTATGGCATTAATATATTGTATATATTGCATTTAAGTTTCTCAAACCAAGCTAGTATTGAAGTAAAAATGTAGAGGTAAATAAATTTTGAAATCTTTAACTTTGCAGTAGTTGGAATAAGGATGAGAAGAGTTTTAAGCGACTCATATTTTCAATTAATTATCCTAATATCTATGATTAAAGCTTTTTTGTAACTTGTTTTATAGCATTATGTGATAAATTCAAAAGTTTTATTTTGAAACTGATATGTTTGTATTTACATTCATGTATTACTTGTATATTGAAAGTTTTATTTTTGTTTTTAAATTAATTTTGATGTTCTTCTTTCATTATTATTATTTTTTTCTCTGTGCTTATTTTTTCGCATAGTGATCTGTAACTGATGTAACAACATCGTTTCCAGGATGAAAGTACTAGAGAGATACAGATTGCACCGTGATAAGCAAGCATTTTTAGATGATCTCAGACCAAAATATATATTGGCATCTCTTACTATTCGTAAAGTTATCACTCATCAGGAGTCCAAGGAAATCAAATCCCAGGTATGTCACTTTTTAAAGATAAAATGCAAAAGATAAATTTATACTTTTTTGATTGCCGTAATTATTTATGCTGGTGTATTTTGGATGGCGCAAAAGCAGTTATATAAATAATCTTGTTTAAAGTATTATGACTTAAAAAATAAGGGGGAGAAAAAGGACATGAAAATCCCGTGAACAAAGGAAATATTAAACATGCAATATCAGTGAATTTTTTTTACTGATAGATCAGCAGATGTGAGCCTAGAAATGGCTGGAACACTCATGACATAATACCAGCAGATTACGTTTTTTTAAGGCTCTTTTAAAGTTTACATACATGTTATCTTAAAACTGAATGATTTGAAGCAAGCAGTTAACAAAAAATTCAACAGCATTGTATTTGAATCTTAATAGTGCACCTATTTGTCACCTTCAGATGTAGGATGCAAGTGTCTTCAAAGAAGAAAGTTTATAATTATATCAAAAAGTAGTAAATATAATTTTGTCATGTATTAAGAGCGTTTAATACCCCTTTCTCATGTCGATTTTTAATAACAGATGACGCTACGAACGTTGAGCGATAAAGACTCAAATCTGTAAGACTACCTACAGCCTGGTTACTATGGCAACGGCGCTTCCTTCCTCTGTACTCGTTTGGCGGGAAAGTGAGTAAGCCATAAAACACATCCCCTCAGTTGAACAAAAGACCTGCTGTCATTTCTTCCGTCTGTGACTCAGACTGCAGGGTATGTTTTGAACAGGAATAGAACTTTTCCACCTTTGGGTTGAATGAAAGATATCTGTGAGATACGTGCAGCAGTCGCAATTTCTTTTCGCAAAATTTGTTCATCATGCTTTTCAATGTTGTGCAATGTTTTCATAATTTGCCGTTATTCTGCGGAAGAAAATAGTTTTTAAAAATACTAGATTTTTAAGCATTTCGGTAATTTCATTGCGACATAAAAATTATATATAAATGATTTTATACTTGATGATATGTGTATACATACGAGGGCTATCCAGAAAGTAGATTACGTTTTGGAATAAAAAAATAAACAAAGTATAGGAAACAAATTTTATTATATACAGATGAAAGCCACACTAAATACTACTTTTCTAATTTTTCAAATTAAGGCATTTATCGTAGCGATGTACGAGCTTGGAAATTCCTTCGTCGAAAAATTCGGCCGCCTGCGCCTTCAACCACTTCGTTACCTCTTCTTGCTTTCCATCTTGCACAAAACTTGTGGTAACCAAGCTTTTCGCTGATGATTTCGTGCAACAAACTTCGCGAAATTTGTGGAAAACTCAAAGAAAGTTCCGTTATTGTGAAATTTCGATTTTCACGGACTTTAGCATCGACTTTTTCGAGAAGTTCGGCGGTCACTATGCTGGGTCTCCCACTTCGATCTTCGTCGTGAACATTGGTTCGGCCATTTTGAAATCTTATGACCCACTGACGCACTCCACCTTCAGTGATAATGTTGTCCCCATACACTTCACGAAGCTGCCGATAGATTTCTATCGGTTTACAGTTTTTTGCAGTCAGAAACCTTATTACTGAGCGCACTTCGCAGCTCGCGGGATTTTCAATTAACGCAGACATTTCAAACCGTCACAGTATCTGAACGGAGCACAGCACGAACCTCTCACTAGCACGGCTAGATGCAGACTGAGCTGCGCAACGCTCTGACCCCAAGATGGCCGCGCTAGCCCCGCCCCTAGCGGACACAGACGGAAACGTAATCTACTTCCTGGATGGCCCTCGTATATAGCATGCACATAATATTCCATTTACTCATCCATCCATAATATTTCATAAATTACCATCCATAATATTCCATAAATATGTGTTAGCACTTTCCAGAGCTTTATATATATTTTTTACTTGTATTATAAAATCGTATAACACTCCTAACTATTATTTTTTTTACTTCAAAAGTGGATAAATCATTATCAAATTTTTCTAGTACACGGAGAAATGGTCTATGTATCCACACACATAAACGTAGTAAAAGATACTATTGTTGATTGAATATCTTTTGGCAGCAATATCAAGATGCAACGAAAATTCGAAATCAATTAATAACATGCATTTTATTACAAAAACACTAGCAGGACGTATTATTTGCACAAAAAACTTAGTGTGGAAATAATTTGCGGCACATTATCTGAGATCCGCTTTGAATGAATACATAAAGTGTTATAATGAACAATCAGTTTTAATATTTCACTTGATACTGAAATGCATAAAATCAAATTGCGTTTCTATGTTTCAGGTTTATAAAATACAGCTGATAATTGAAGGGGTATCAGGTTTATAAAGTACAAGCTGATAATACATGATAAGGGAGAAGAAATTCCTAAATTACAAAATTGAATATTATATTTTAATAAAGTAAAATGATACATATTATAGATACATCCTAAAAAAACGATAATATATATATATATTGTATATATCGTTGTATACCGTATATATATTATGTATTTATATGTATATCTACTCTTTTCCGGATGTAACTGTAATTACGTACTGTGCTGGTTTATCATCTTCCTGTAGCGATGCATTTGGATTTGCTGTGTATGAATCTGTTTCATTGAACAGGAACAAATAGGAAACAGAATATTGAAAATTGAATTTTTTTAAAGCATTAGTAATTTATATATATTAGATTGACTAAAAAGAGTATATTCATGCATAACGTATAAATATGCGAAGTGAATACTTTTTGGCAATCACCTTTCTAGGATGATCATTTTTAAAAATAACCAGTACTGTTGAAACACCGGTACGATCTATCTGCCTAAGGGAAAGGATGCCTTCGTGGAAGACTTTCTAAGGGAAATTGGCTCCTAGACACGTTACACAGGGTAAAACCACGAAAGCGCAACCAGTCCCTTCGCGGGATTCGAAACTCGGACCGAAATACTGGTGTTCAGCTACTTTACCGCTTCGTGCCTCATTTCAGAGCGGATTCGCTATATATGAAACAGAGTAATGTGCTGTTACCGTATTTAGCAGCCTGCCTTTTTCCTTGACCTACCATAAAAAAATAAAATAGCAAAATTATAACAGCGTCTCTAAAAAGATGCTTTGCTATATTCTCATTAAATCTTTATCATTCTGCGCTACTAAAAACGAAGTACGATTATTTCAAATTCAAAATTTTATAACATTACTTTACAGAAAGCGATCTCATGTCTTCTAAAAATAAAACCCAACATCTGTTTCTACTCAAGCGCTTACTTTCTAGACAAAGTAATTTCAGTGTAACGTACGTTCAGTTTTATCTAACTTTGAACGGAAAAAAAAAAAAAAAAAAAAAAAACTATGTACATAACAGGCAAAGATATTAACAGCACATAAATTTACTCAATTATATTGGATTACCAGAGGAGAAAAAAATAATTCGATGAGATAATTCTCTGAGAATTCATAAACGCTAAATTAAGAATAAATTTTATAAAATGTTTACTAATGAATACATGTATTTGCATAGTAAGTTTCCTTTTTTAAAAAATTTTTCATCTTTATCACGTTTATCGGAGTGTCGTATTTAACTTCACAATTATGCTCCGAAATTTCATTGCTGTAGATTGGATTATTACCAATATATAATTCTACTAGTAACCAGAGCCAGTATTAGAGGTTTTTGCTGCTCACTACAATATCTGTGGCTCTTACTTCTGCCACGCGCCGCCAGTGGCTGAGTGGTTAAGAATATTGATTACTGGAAGTTCGACCTGGTTTCGGTTCGATCCCAGGCGAACCAGCTGGCTGCATGGTTTGTTTTCCTGTTGTGCAACATGAATACGACCCAGTTTCCTTCAGCAATTAGGCTCACCCGCGGCCGAGCGGTTAAATCGCTGAACACTGGTAGTTCCGACCTGGGTTCGAATCAAGGCGAACGGGCTGGCTACATGGGCGTTTTCATAATCTTCCCCGTGTGTAACGTGTATGGGGAGCTTTGCTATAAACTAAACTAAGCCTTCAGAAACTTCCTCCACGAAAGCATCTGCTATCTGCCACCTCGTGGCTTTGCTATATTCAAAGAGCCTAACCCAATTCTAGCACTCAGTTCCTCTCTAAATTCTAGCGGGCGAGCGCTAAAGTCGCCTATTACTGGTAGTTCAACCTCGGCACATTATCTGAGTTCAGCTTTGAATGAAAACAACATAAAGTGTTATAATGAACGATTACTGGAATAAAGTGTTATAATTTAAAGATTTCACTTGATACTGAAATGCATAAAATCAAATTGCGTTTCTACATATCAGATTTATAAAGTACAGCTGATAATTGTAGGAATATCAGGTTCATAAAGAACAGTTGATAAATACATGAGAAGTGGGAAGGAATTCATAAATTACAGAATTTAATGGTTGTAACGAAAATTTTAAGCACGAACGTTCTTCATAAAGTTATGAAAAAAAAAAGCAGTCAGTACCTTTAGTGCGGATAGTAATCACTACCAAAAATCTATGCTTTTCTGCCAATTTTTTGGTAGTTTTTCAAAACCTTCGGCTCGGAAACTTGGTGGCCCGAGTCCAAACACAGGTCAACCTCATTTCGGACGTCTTGTGCAGAAGTGAAGATAGGACCAGCAAGATGTAGCTGAAAGTCCGAACGTGCGATGTCGGGGTTATATGGTGGATGTGGTGAAAGATCCCTTTCGAGTCCGTACAGAGGCCAGCCGGTGAATGCAGACACGTATGGTATTATCTTGATGGAACGTTACCTTTCTGCGCCGGAACTCAATTCGACTCTTTTCCTTGATAGCAGCGTCAACATGCACTAGCATCTCGTTGTATCCTTTACTTACTGTCAAGGGTTTTACCTTTTTCCATATACTATTTGTGATTAATACCACGGCAATCCCACCAAATACAAAAGAATGATCTTTTTGTTAGTCAAATTACGCTTTACGATGCTGCCGACGGACTCACGGGCGCAGATCAACTAAATTTTTGGCCTATGTTGTTGAAATAAATTTATTTTTCAACACAAGTGACTATCC